CATCTGCTCCATCCTTCCAACTGACCTCCTGTACCTCACCGTTGGAATCGGCTACACTCCACTTCTTCGATTCAACCGCCTCCTGCGTCTGACACGTCTGTTTGAGTTCTTTGAGCGTACAGAAACTCGAACGGGCTACCCCAACGCTTTCCGTATCTGTAAACTGGTTCTGTACATACTGGTTATTATCCACTGGAACGCCTGTGGATACTACAGCTTCTCCAAGGTCCTGGGCCTGGGCTCTGATTCTTGGGTTTATCCCAATGCCTCAGACCCAGAGTTTGGCTCCTTGACCAGAAGTTACATATACTGTCTGTACTGGTCAACCCTGACGCTGACAACCATTGGTGAGACACCAGCTCCTGTTAGAGATGAAGAATATCTCTTCTTGATATTTGACTTTCTGGTATGTCCATAGCAACAGTGTAACCTTAGCTGATATTATCTTATCTGGAATGTCCATGAAAGCCAGATTCTGGCTTCAGAACAACTAATACTGTACTCATTTCTGTTCCAGGTTGGTGTCCTGATTTTTGCCTCCATTGTGGGAAATGTCGGATCCATGATCTCCAATATGAATGCCACAAGAGCAACCTTTCAGAGCCGTGTAGATGCACTGAAACACTACATGCACTTCAGACATGTCAGCAAGGTCCTAGAGCAGCGCGTCATTCGCTGGTTTGACTACCTGTGGACCAATCAGAAGACTATAGATGAACAGGAAGTGCTGAGGAGTCTGCCCAATAAACTGAGAGCAGAGATTGCTATTAATGTTCACCTGGACACACTGAAAAAGGTAAAGACACTTAGACAATTTGACCCAACTCCAATCTCCTACATTTGTCATGTCATTCAATGCAGATTATGTTTTTGTAGAGATTATTATCAAAAGTTATATACTTAAATTACTTTATGGTACATAAAGGCATCACTTTTGCAGGTATGGTAATACAACCCTTCCATTTGATGAAACTGCCCAACACACAATGCTGAAAAAGGAATCCATTGTCACATTTCTGATGTAGGATCTAAACATGGTATTACACATTGCATCAGTGATTCTATTGGCCGATCAAGCACACCCACTTGGACTTGATTTAATAAAGGTGAACTCTGACCTGCAAGTCCACAGGAGCTGACTTGAGATTGAAAGAAAACAGGAAATACCACGTTGAATTTGTCCATCATTGGGAAATTCAATAGAAATAAATGAAAGACAGAGCCATTGTCGAAAGATAATGTGATTATAACTTAAGTTGCCAGAATTGTTGCTCATGCTCATATATCATATTTCTGGTTCCTTCTTCTACCACTGTGACTTGCAAGTTCCACAATCATTAACAAACTGTTGTGTTTGTGTATGTGTATGTGTGTATAGGTGCGTATTTTCCAGGACTGTGAGGCCGGCCTCCTGGTAGAGTTGGTGTTAAAACTTCGACCACAGGTTTTTAGTCCTGGAGACTATATCTGTAGAAAGGTCAGTTGTACTACTACTGTTGCTTTAAGTACTGTTGCAGTACACTTCCTGCCATGTCTGTATTAAGTTTTGTATGGATTATGCAGACATTGTAGTATATTATTCCAGTTAAATCTGGTCAGTCAGTACATACACTGAAAAACATCTCCCTGCTTGCTACACATGTGCATTAGGCTACTGTTTTCTCTAGCTCCACTGGACCAACTACCTGCATGAACAATATTTTCTTTGCTGTTGATGAATTTTATTGTTTTTTTTTTTTGTTATTGCTTTTTGTCTTTATGAGATAGCAGATGGTAGAGCAGTGACAGGAAAAGATTGTGTATGACATACAAGAGCGGTCCCCAGCCTAACTCGAACCAGGAATGTTAGTTACATGGTCAGTGTCCTTTAGGCCACCATGACACTCTAGTGGGCTTTTAGATACCGAATGTTCAAATGTGTAGAAATGCCAATTTTGTAAAGGTTGTGTGTGGTAAATTTTCTGTAATGTGACTTGAACATCTGTAAATGAAAATTGGTGCACAGCCTTTGACCTCAAAATTTTGATGGAGACTTTTCCCTTTTTCATCAAGAAGAGTAAGACTTAAAGGATCTATCGCTACGTAGCCAACGTTATCATAAAGAACTGTTTACTTACTAGTCTAGAAGACATGTTGCGAGTTCAGCATCAAACCTCATTCCTTTACTCTTTCTATCACTTTTTCTTCTACTGAAGTTAGCATGCTAACCAGCTAGCTCCAGCTGGTCAGCCTGTTTTGTCACTTTCCCATACGAAGTCACTGTAGCGTCCAGTCTGCCCTGAAGAAGTATTCTAACCTCTTGTGCTGTAAAAGCAACAATCTCTGAAGCGCTTGGCAAGATTTGCAAGTAAACAGTTGTTAATGATAATGTTGGCAATGTAGCCATAGCAAAACTTTAGTTTATTTAGAAGTCAAGAGGTGCTGTGGTTAATTAAAAGTTAATTAATTAAAAGTACTAATGTGTCCATTATGTCCTCCTTTACCAGTGATGTACTGCATTAACATCTTTGCCTACCTATATATTCTGTCTTTTTTTACAAGGGAGATGTGGGTAAGGAGATGTACATAATTAAAGATGGCCGCCTGGCAGTGGTGGGGGAGGATGGAGTCACCCAGTTTGCTGTTCTAACAGCAGGGAGCTGCTTCGGTGAAATCAGTATCCTGAACATCAGCGGCAGCAAGATGGGGAACAGACGAACAGCTAACATTCGGAGTCTGGGATACTCAGACCTGTTCTGCCTTTCCAAACAAGATCTAATGGAAGCACTTCAAGAGTTCCCCCATGCCAGGGCCCAGCTGGAGCAGAGGGGGCGGGACATCCTGCAGAAGGAGGGACTTCTGGAGGAAGTGAATGTGTCTGCAGGGGAGGAGCTCGAGGAGAAAGTGGAGAGGCTGGAAACCAGTCTGGATCGGCTACAGGTCAGCACTATTAGTTCACTGCTGCTGTTGTTACATTCCATGCAGTAATTGCTATATTGATAAAAACTAATGATATCCTTGTTTTCAGACATGCTTGGCCCGTCTGCAGAGTGAATTCAACTCTTCCCAGTTGCGATTGAAACAGCGACTCACATCCCTTGAACACAACATCACCACAGTAGCCACAGGAAGTGGTTTCCTGTCAGATGCCGACGGCAATGAGAGTGTTTCTGGTGGTGATGGTGTCCGCAGTGAAATCAACATCCGGCTCTGATGAAATGGCACACAGCATTTTTACTGTCACAAAATACTATTACTCTTATTCATTCATACAAATTGAAATACAAAAAACACCATGAAGCTCTTATTTGGTTCTCCTCTCATGGTTTGATAATGACCAGTATTTGACAGATTGTTATTATTTTTTTGTTTTACTTTTTAAAACCTTTTCCCTCTCGCAATTTTACACCTGCTGGTGTACTCTGAATTTACAAAAACAGTAATTAATTTCATGTCTAAAGCACCTTGATTAAAATGCAGCTCTGCTTAAAAAGCTTTGCATCTTAGAAAACATTTATACCAATAAACAAATACAAAGGTTGCAGACAAAAAAAAAACAATAAAACTTATAGTTACACAGTAAAATGATTACTTATATTAAAGTTCTGAGAAAGGTTTACTCAGGAATACAGTAATGGCTGCATATCCTAACCAATACACTACCAGTAACACATTATTAGTTGTTCTCATTTTTGGACTTATCCACTAGGGGGCATAAACTCTCCATGAATGCTGGTGATTACCTACCTGCTGTTAGAATTGATGAAGACACCCTACACTACCTGATCAATATTTTCATTAAATCTAAGGGAATAAAACTTGTGCTAATACACTTGATATCCCTCATAACTGAATCACACAGTAACTGAAGTGATGACAGCCAGGGCTGGAAGCATTATGTTTTCAGGTTAACTGTTTGTGCAACCCCCATTCTCATTTCTTCTCAACTCACAAATATTCACTTGGACTCAGGATGAAGACACCCTACACTACTTTTGATGGTCAAAGGTCAAAGTTCAAGGTCATCGTGACCTTATGTTTTTGTGAACACAATGTGTCAGGAACACCCAGAAGGCGGGTTTTGTCTTTGTTGATTGGATTGGACTCCTTCCTCTGTCACAATTTTCACAAGAAAACTTGTTAATGTTCCCTCATCTTCTGCTACGAAGCCAAGATGGCGACCGTTGATGGTGAGAAGTGTCCATTGTACTGCACTCGATTTTTTGACGTTTTTGAGTGCACCGTCCAGTTACTTAGTGCACTGTATGTTGCCACACTCTAATTAGCAAGTGAGAGTATGGAAGAAAGCGAATTGAGACACAGCATGCATGAGTTTCTTCTGTTTGAGTAGAGATGACTTTACCTCCACCTAGAGAACAACCTTCCCTGCCTTAAGAGGGAATTGAAGTTAGAAGTTAGTATTTTAGTTTGACAACACACAAGACACAATGTAACAGTTAGACATTTCACGAATGTCAAACTCCTTTTCTGTCCTATTTCTTTAAACACATTTTCTGTCAGGTTGTTTTTAGAGTTGTCTGCAGTGATGTCTTTTTAAGCGCGGTCAAGATGTTTCTTTTCACTCATCTGCTCTAGTTGAAAAGAATAATGTAGAAGGTTTTTTCCCTTTTGTGTTGGCAGTACTGACTCCTGATGATTAAATGAAGTGAACATGATTTTAAAAAAATGGAAACATTTTCTTCTTTCTCTTTTTTCTCACTTTGAAAATCTGTTTTATCAAAAAAAAAAACTCTCTTCATCGTTCATGAGCAGCTTTATCATTGAAATACTAGATAACCCTAACACTGGCCATTTATTTTGAGCATGATAGATGCTATACTTCTAACAAAACTACTTTATAACCATGAAAGACTGTGGATATGTGTGTGTATGTTAATGACCTTGTTGGACAACTATAATGTGGTCACTGTATGTTCTACAGCGTGTCAGCAAGTGACTTGGGACCAAAGTCCAACATCACATGACTGTAAGATTTCAGGAAGTGACTTTTAAAAAACTCGTGGAGACTCTGAGAAATCACTGTGTGAGAAGGTAGAAACACATTGTTTGTTTCTCTGTAGCTTCCTCTGTGCTCCTCTTACTTTACTCACACTTTTTTGTCTTTCTGTTTTTGATTTTCTCTCTCTTTTGTGCCACTCTGCTTCCAAACTGTGCTCTGTGCTTGTTTCTTTTATTGCATCCAATTTTATTTTCCTTTCTCAGAAGACTGTTTTGTCCCCCTCTTTCTCTTTCTTTTTGTCTTTTATCTTTTCACCTAGAAAAATTGATCACAACAGAAAACACTCAGGCTCTTGAGTGTGATCAATGATATTATCTGAGTTTGTTGACATTTTTGTGTATGGCTGTAAATGTGAGCACACTTGTATGATTGTGTGTGTATGTTAGTGTGTGTTTCAGAGATGGAGATCAGCTGTGTGTTGCTGTGTGTGACACTGGTAGCCAGTGTGACACCAGTGTTGGCTGCAGCAGAGGTAAAACCTGGTTTTGTTACAATTTAAAATTTTTAATGAACTAAATCTATAAATCACTATTTGATTACAAAGATGATATTTTTTTTCCACTTTTAAAATCTTTATTGATGGCCATCACAGTGAACATGTATATTAAAACAAATACTAAAAAAAAGGGAATATAAAATAATTTTGATAACAATCAGCAAAGAGACATTGTGCAAGAACATTGCATTAAACCAATGAATTGATGGACCTACATACAAGAAGGATAACAAAAAAAACAAATTCAGTCAGTCATTAGAGTTCAGAAGCTCAAGTGAGGTCTAAACTCAGGGTCCTACAATTTCAAATGAAGCAAAACATGATACATTCCTTTAATGTTCCCCAGCACAGACTTATAGTCGTACAACAATCATACAATAATTCAAAATGTTGCATGTAGGCAAGACGTTACACACTACAGCAGTGATATCAGAAACTTCTGCTTTCCCAAGCAACAACACCTGTTTCTAGTTTCTTCATTCTCCATGCACCGGCAATACTCATACGCCACCTAGTGCTCAGATATACTGCATAAATGTATATAAATAAACAGATTAAACTGCATCTACAGTCAGCATGCTCCCTCAAAAGTGTTCACTCCACAACAAATAAATAAAATAAATACAGTATATTTTCTCTTATATTCTCACATTGTTGCTTATTCAAATCCTTTCCTAGGTTTTTCTTTCACATGATCATTTTGTGGTGATATTATTATCATACGGGCCATTTGTTGCTTCTGTCTGGCTGCTCAAGACATCTATGTATATTAAAATATATTACTAGATAAAGATGACATATAACAGGTATGTACATGATGTATTTGTATTTGTGTATTTTAGCCTGGTATCATAGAGAGCCTCCTGCTGGCCACCCATCAGCGTCCCTGGCTCTGGAGTATCTATGTCTTCACTGTTGGACTTCCCATCATTCTCTTCATTAGCTTCATGTGGCCTGACAAGGTACAGTGCAGCTTTGTGTGTGAACTGTGTGAACAAACTATACAGCTATAAAAAGACTGTGTGTGACACAGTGTGAGTGTGTGTGTGTGTGTGTGTGTGTGTGTGTGTGTGTGTGTGTGTGTGTGCAGCGGTTTGGGCCTCCTGATCAACAGTATTACTACAAGAAGTCTGATGATGCTCAGCCAGACGATCCTGAGACCTCAGGGCAGACAGACTCACTGGATACCAAAGGTAATGTTTTATTTTTAGATTATCACAGGAAGTTGTAGTATAGGGCAGAAAATCAAGAGCATGTTACTTATGGTAGTAAATATGATGGGATTTACTGGCACCTTTCTTCTCTTCTCTTTTCAGGTGAGGCGGATAAAGCTGTAACCAGGAGGAGAGAGACTCGGGGTAACCAGAAGAAGTCTGACTTAGACTCCTGAAGGTGAGTGGAGGTGATAATGACCGATAATGAAGGTGCAAAAACTCATCTGGAAGTGTTAACGCATCACATTTACATATTGGTGCAGATATGAAGTATGATCTGGTTTCTGAGTACACAGTGTGAATGATGGAAGTGAACAGAGGGGCAGTTCTTTTTTTATAAATAACCCATGACCACATTCTGAGAAATGTTCTGGCTCTGTGCTATCAAGCAAAAACACGGAATCCAGGCACAGTTACAGCGCTGGGCAGAGCAGGATGTTTGGCAGAGAGGTCGTACATCATCTTGCAAAATACTTGAAAATGTTTTAGCATCTGTAGCTGAAATGTCAAAACCATTTTCTTGTGTTGTATTTGCTGCTTTGCCAAATTTGTATGTTGAATTTTCTGTGTGGAAATGTGAAGACCTTTTGGGTCAGCGCTGATTACAATGCCACAACTCTTTTGATAAAACATGAATAAAAACGGCTGCAGGCAGCAGGTCAGTGAAGCAGTGGGTGATTAAAAACTGATTTTGAATGTTTTTTGTTTGTGTGTTTAGGATCATTGATCAGTGCAGTGCACCTTGGGAGAGGAAATCTTCTCAGCTCACAAGAGGATGCTGAATAATCATCATATCTTTGGCCAATGGTACTGATGACTGGATAAAACAGTTTTTAACAGAACAAAGACTGAGGATTGAACTAATTCAATATGTTTCATTATGGCATTTCTTCACTACAAGTATCAGTATAGTCATGTTTCGATGATTTATGAAGCTAAAATAAATATTTCTCCAGTTGGGTATATTACAGTATTATAGTGCACACATTAAGAAGCCACATGGTAATGCACTTCAGGCATTTTTGGCTAATAAAAAGCTCTGACACAAAAATATTGTGTTTAATGTCTTCAGAATCTGATAGTAACCTCCATATATACAACATATCTGAGCTATTAAAAGGAGCTATTTGTAAGTTTTACTATTGCTACATAGCCATGTTAGCAAAAGTTGTTTACTTACCAGTCAAGAAGAAATGTTGAGTTCAGCATCAAACATCATTCCTTTATTCTCCTGTTTCCAGCAGTGGAATGAAACCCTCTTGTTTTGCTTCTATTTCTGTCACGTCTTTTCTTTTACTGAAGTTAGCATGCTAACCAGCTAGCCCCGGCTCATCTCATCAATTTCCAATAGTGACTCACTGTAGCCTCCAGTCTGCCCTGAAGATGTAGCGCTGTTATATTATAACCTCTTGTATTATAAAGACAACGATGGCTGAAGGAAATTTACAAATAGCCCTTTTAAATAGGATTTGATGTTTGAATCTTGTCATTAGTGATTGTATCTGATTTGAATGTTATCCTAGTTTAATTGAAATAACACATCTAGATTCATCATTGAAGTTGAGCAGCATTTTGTATTTTGTTAAACTAATAGTTCAATATTTGGGAAAATAAACATTATTGTTTTCATATGATAGGCTATAAAACCTGCAGTTTAACCATCTAAAACCGTGTCCACGTTGCAAGTAAAACCTGTCTTCCTCTCCTAGTGAGGGATATTTCTGGAATACTGTCTTTTCCATTTTGAATAATCAGTAACAGCCACATTATTCACTCAAGTTCCTTTGTGATCCTTTGAGATGAAATGTCTCCTTTTGCTCTGCCTCTTCCTGCACTGTCCAGAGCTGACCTTTATAGGCATTAAGCTACTCTCAGCATTTATTTGAAATGGCACAATGCAGCTCATCAATAAAATGTCTGCTTGAGTCTCTTAAGGACTCTCACGGAGAACATGAGCTGGATGAGTGGGCATGCAGGGACAGGAAAATCAAAGCGCTGGCAAGAGGAGACCAGAAGAGAGGAAGAAGATAAGACAGACGACAAAACACAGACAAAAGGAGAGAGATTTGGAGATTGTTGAACAACACTTTGACATATTGTCTCCTCTGACCAAATATATATGTTTGGAGAGGAATATGGTTATACTTTTCACATGACCTTCTGTTAACTTGCCTAAGTAATCCTTCTATTCTCTATTCTTGTCTACTCTGTTCTATTAAATAGGACCAGAAAAGAGTTTTTTCCGAAAAGTGCAGCCAATTTTGGCAAGTGTAAATCTGTTGTAGACACTCCCTGCATATTTTCTATATTTTATGACTGTAGAGAATCAGGTATTTCATCGGTTTCTGGTTCTCCTTGGCCACAGCTTTGTTTTGCCCCAGGTGTGGGGAGAATTGAACTCGCTGTTGGGAAATCAAACAGATAAAACTAAACTGTGAGAGGTAGAAGTCGTCTCGTTTCTTGACTTCTGGTCTTTTAGTTTTGTGTTATCTAAAGAAGAAGAGGATGACAGGCTCACTGCAGCTGCTCACAGGACTGATAGTCTTCACAGCTTGGTCTCAGTTTCTCTGTGTAAGTACTCTGCAAAGAGTCAGTCATCAACTTTGCTGTTGTGCATTTAGTTTGGAAATATCAATATTCTAAGCCACAAATCTCTTTGACTTCATTGTTTATAAGCTAATTTCAATGCAAATGTGCTTGTGTATTTTTCACTTGTAGGAATGCAATATCATTCTCTACCTTAATGTGTGGTTGACATTGTATCTGATTACACATCTACATGTGTAGAATTGATGAATTTCAGTAGGTCTTAAAAGCACTCTAAATATATTTAGATATAGAGAAAATGTGGTTTAGAGATGTAGTCTTCAAGGACCAATTCCAACAACAGGGAGAAAAAATGTTCACACATTAACAAATGTTCAAGTTTAGTTTCTTTTTAAGAAGTCTACTCATTCTGATTGAACAGCAGGTAGGAGGATAGATGGCACTCTAATATCTGTACGTTGAATAACGAATTACAGCCAGCTGCTGGCTATCTTAGCTTAGCTTATAGATTGGAAACAGGGGGAAACAGCTAGCTTGACTCTGTCTGAAGATGACTAAAGTAACCTTCTAGCACCTATATAGCTTGTTTGTTTGTGATGCCACTGTAAAGTTCCCAGACTACCAACAGAGACTGACCTCAGCCGAGAAACAGTTTGTCGCAATATTTTATTTTACTCTTTTTTTGTATATAGTAAACGAGTTAATAGTGGTAATTAGTGAGCTTCAGAGGTGCTGGTAGGTGGATTTTGTTACCATTGGACAGAGCACAACCAGGCTAGCTCTTTCCATTATTTATGTCAAGCTAAGCTAGTTGCTGGTTGTAGCCTTATATGTACTGGACTGATAGTGTATGGCTGTGGTATCAATCTTTACATTGAATTTAAAATAACAAGTATATTTCCCAAAATGTCAAAGTATACTTTTAAAGTTAGATCTAGCACTATCTTGGGTTTAAGATCAGATTATTGCCACTTTAGTGCCATTTGATAGTGTAAAGTTAATGTTAAGAAGATAAAAGCTTTTTTACAATAGTGTTCCTGCTGTGTATCCAAATTTTCCACATTTTGTTGGAAAAAGTATAAATATTTTACAGACCAAATAACAGTGAAAAAGAAATACTGATGTTTTCATGCAGATGTGTATGTGTTTTTATTATTACTTTATGTATATGTTTCATTCTGTGCATATTTTATCTCAGAATGGGGTCACGAATATGAATATTGTATTCATATAATATGAATATGAATGAAGCTCCTTACTAATATAGCAGTAAAACTGTCTGTATATAACGTGTGCGTGTGTGTAGGCGTCAGACATTTGCCAGGAGGAGGTGGCTCGTCTGCAGGAACAGGAGAAGCTTCTGAAGGGCCAGCTTCAGAAACAAGAACTCCTCCTACACAGATTACAGTTGCGGAACCAACCTGGCAACAACAAACCAGCACAAGCCGACCAGCCCCAGGACACAGAGTACACAGGTCAGCCAGACCCTCTGCCCCAGGAGTGGGAAACAACATTGAAAACTGAGCTCAAAATACTGCATTTCAGATGTCATATTACAAAAACAGGAACCAGATAATGTACCAAATACAGTGTGTGTGTGTGTGTGTGTGTGTGTGTGTGTGTGTGTGTGTGTGTGTGTGTGTGTGTGTGTGTGTGTGTGTGTATGTCAGACTGCTCCCAGCTCTTCACTTCTGGCTTCAAATCCAGTGGTTTCTACAGAATCAAGACCTTCAGAGCGTACTGTGATATGAGTGAAGGAGGTGGTTGGACTGTCATACAGAGACGGATCAATGGAGCAGAGACATTCAACAGGTGTGTCTGAAGTTTGATACTGCGAGTGTAAAATGATTAAATCATGGGAGAAGTAATCTATCTATCTATCTATCTATCTATCTATCTATCTATCTATCTATCTATCTATCTATCTATCTGTCAGGTCATGGGTGGAGTATAAGGATGGTTTTGGAGACATGAATGCAGACTTAGGAGAGTTTTGGATTGGAAATGACAACATGCATCATATCACTGCACAAGGTCAACACCACTTCTAAAAGCTATTGGTCTATTTTGTTATATTGATAATGCATCAAATGACAAGCACAAAAAAAAGGTATAACCACTTAAATTAATACTGGTGTTAAATATCCTATAGGTTGATTTTTTCTCAAATTCAGAAGACTTTTATTGTTTAACTCTGTCTGTTCCAGGGAATTACTCTCTGAGGATTAACCTGGAGGACTTTGATGGTAACCAGCGCTACGTTGAGTACAAGAACTTCAAAGTGGCTGATGAAAAGGTGTTGACTTACAACTGAAATGTCAAAAAACCTTAGATATTAGACTTTGATAATGTTTAGGAAAGTAACTAATATATAGTAACTACTTGGTGGATCTAATCATCTTGCTTTCATGTGCTGACATTTACATTTTCCATGTTTCTCCTTATGTACAGGCTTAAAGGAATTCATGAGAAATAGCTGGCTCTGTTCAAAGGTTTAAAAAAGTCTGTTAACCAAACCCATAAAGCTCAGTAATGAACAGGTTCTACCTTTTTTTTTTTGTATGTGTAAAAACAAGAAGTTGTGGTTTTACAGGGATTTGTGTGATGAAAGTACTTCTTATTTACAGTGAGAAGGGTACTGATGTTATCATCTTAAACTCTGTAGGACAACAAATTTTCTAAAATGTTTAACTATTCCTTAGATTTTTAGCTTCTGCAAGGTGACCAGCTCCTCTTACACTGTTTCTCTCCCTGTCTGCAGGATCACTACCGACTAACCTTTGGAGCTTATGTAGGCACAGCTGGTGATGCTCTGTCTGGAGGTTATCAGGTTGGTGTGTCAGAGTGGGCCAGTCACCAGGGCATGAAATTCAGCACCTACGACCAGGATAATGATAACTACCAAGGAAACTGCGCCCAGGAAGACAAAGGAGGCTGGTGGTTCAACAAGTATGGTTTCGTGGTTAGACAGAGTGCCATTCCACCAAAAAGCACATAGATCCAAACATACACAGCAAGATGCACAGAGCTATCCATTACTGTAAAAAAAACAAAACAACTAAATATTAGTTCTTCTTCTTCTCTCTCTCTCTCTCTCTCTCTCTCTCTCTCTCTCTCTCTCTCTCTCTCTAGGTGTCACTCAGCCCATCTTAATGGCAAGTACTACTCCAGTGGTCACTACAGTGCGACAACAGATGATGGTGTAGTTTGGTACACTTGGAGAGGATGGTGGTATTCCCTGAAGACCAGCATCATGAAGTTGCGACCCATCGACTTCAATATTGACCCCATTGACGACCCAAATGCTGTCAACCGCAATCCACCTTCCTAGATCAGACATGAGCAGATATTAAATCTTTGTGTTTGTGCAGAAACAGCTTGGCAAGGAGTAAAATCACATTTTACATTTAAAAATATACTAAACATACTATCAATCTAATTTTAAGATCCTCTTAAAGCACATGTGGACTTGTTGATAGATTGTATTTGGATGGAGAAGAGTAGCAGTAACAAAGCAGAGCAAATATAGCCAAGATGAATCAACACCCAAAACTCTGAAGTGGTAAATGTAACTGGACACTGTACAACATAGTGAAACTTTAGGTAGCTTACATAACAACATATGTGTAAGAGGTAGTCTGTAACATCAGGACTTGTGAAACTTTTTGCCTGTTTTAGAGACATGAATGTTGCAATGGGAAGTAGCACATGCACACAGCTTTCTGTTCTGGTGGAAAAAGGGGAAATCTGATGTTGGTGTGTGTTTGGCAGAAACAGACAGAAAGAGACTGAAGATGTTGAAAGGAGACATTTTCGTTTCATTGAAAATGGCTGTAGCGAGAGCTGAAAGGGCTTTAAAAAAAATAAAAAAAATAATAACATGATAAAATCAACATGTCATCATATTCTTCAGGCTACAATAGCATAGAGTAAGCTGAGCTCAGAAATGCTCATTTTCCCATATGTTATTGAGATGAACATAAATTGTCTATGTATCAAAAGTAATTGAAATAAATGAATGCTATTATATTCTTGAAAACAATAGCAAGTCATTTCTGTTGATGCGACAGTTGGCTTTTAGTTATAATCACAAGAAGGATATGGGGACTTGGGCATTGATGTCTTCCAGTTGTTGTGCAGAAAGCAAATATTGGCATGTTTTGCAGCCAATTCATGCATTTAGCAATCCAAATGACAAAAATCTATAATTTATCGGTCATATTGCTATATCCATTGATGAAAAGTCTGCTGCAAATCATTTGTTTGATTATGACATAAATTAAAATGGTTTATTATTCTCTAGGAGTTGCATAGTTTCATTTATGAATATAAGACCTTTAGGGATGAGGAATGGTCTATAATTTAATATTACAAATACCCTTTGACAAAATATGGAACAAAAGTTCCCTACATTGATAATTTATTTATTTATTATCATTATCTACAAAAACAGACATCAGGAGAAAAAAATAAATAATATCCAGTGGATCTCCAGAGCAATGTGTGTGTGAAATAAGCTATGCTTTGTCATTATTGTAAAAACGTAATTTTGTATTTAAACTCATTGACGTTCTTTTATCTCAAAACAGAAAGCGTATTAATTTATAATGTCAGACAGTAATTGTCTGAAAGAAAAATCACTCCTCAGGGAAACGGGGCACGGTCCTTTATCTGCTTGTATGCTTGATTAAGATCCGTAGCTGTCCTGTTGTGCGGTGTTTTTCCCAATTCATCCACAGCAACGTTCAACCAAAACGCCCCCGTCCACTCGTGCTGTCCCGTTCACTTAAACAGGCGCACCGTCCGTGGTTAACACCAGCACTGATTGGCTGAGACTCTTGGACGTTCAGAGAGATTGGCAGTCAGCTGGAGCTCGAGGAAAATAACAGTTGCTTGTTTTTAACTGACGGGGATTTTGGACCGGACATATTTTTGCCACTGTGTTTGTGACACTTTTAAATCACCATCTCAAAGATTCCGATACATTCTTTTACACGGAGGGAGCGCGACAATGTAGTGTTGTCATCGTACACCTATTTTTAACGATAGGTATGTAAGCTAACATTAGCTCATGTTGAATTGGTTACTTAGCAAGAAAGCTAGTTGCTAGCTAGCTGTCGTTATTGCTGTTAGTTTAACTCTGAGTCAGAGCATTCTGCAGTTCGACATTATTTGCTGACTCTTAGTATCATTTTGTGTTCTTTTTTTCGTTGTAAAGCAGGTAGCTTAACAGTAACTTGGCTTCCGAGTTTAGCTTCCTGCTAGCCCAGTTGGTTAGCAACAGTCACTAAGCTACTCTTCCACCTATTTGTCTCCAAGGTGACGGTGGTTGTTGCTCCATCCATCCCATCACCCCGGGTCTCTCTCTGCCTGCTCTCTGGTCAACCCCTGTCGCTTAGTCAAAGACAAACCTAGTGTCCTGTTCTGTTGTCTGGAGTACAGTGTTGTGGATGACTAAGCCGGCGGGGCTCCGTGCCTGTGTCCGCCGGGCGGGCCGATGCTAGGAGCGTGGAAAACATAACGGTGTCGGTCGGTGAGGAGATGTCAAAGCGGGGATGCCTCTTCCTGGAGACAGTGTTGTAGTCGAGGGTATACACGAGTGTACACAGTATACCTACCGCTGTGACTTGCCATATAGACTGGCGGAGCAACTTTTCAGCCTAACCAGCAGTGACACATATATGGATGGTGGGGTCGCAGTATGCCCACCCCCTCAACTACCACTACACCACTGGCTGGAGGGAGTAGCAGCACCGGAGGAGAAGAGGGGCTCATGTCTGCCACCTCCACCTCTTCTGTCGACTCCTCTTTCCGGTTCGTCCCGGCTTTCTGCCTGGGCGTGGTGGCAGCAGTAGTGTTTCAGCTGGCCTGGGGAGGCCTGACCCTGACCTCTTTCTTCTTGAAGCTTTTCATATATGTGTCATTCGCCCTACTGTGTTTCCTGGCTGGGAGCTTTGTTCTGCTAGTCAGGAAGAGTCCTCTAAAAGTCAGCTGCTTTGACAGAAACACAAGGCAGTCAGCTGCATGGCAGGAGTTCTTCAACAAGCTCATGGTAAGACACTGGTATCTCTTAGTTCAAAGAATTTGCTCACGCACAATACACCTTTGGTGACGCACACACTCTCTACCAGCTCCCCATGATATCACAGCAGCATTACGCTATTAATCATGTCATCAGGAAGCATTCTCCATTACTGCTGGAAGTCACTGATAGGCAGAGAAAAAGGTAAATTCTGCTGTTATCTAATGGCACCTCTGGCATGTGTAACCTTAACTTCAACAGCCTGGCATACATGTAACTTTAATTTTGACCCAAATCTCTCCAACAGTGTTGAACACACACATTCTAATTTGATATTTTACATGTTTGCATCCCTAACTATCATCCTCTGCTCCTTGCAGCCTCTTCATCCTTTTCACCCTCAATTGTTTCCCTCCTCTTCCAATCCTTCTCTCCTCTCTCATCTTCTCTGCCTGCCCCCAGATCCTCACTGTGTTGTTTTATAATAGATGAGGCAGCGTCATGCTGCTGGATTTAGACACACTTTAACACACACACAAACATGTACACACACATTTATGGAGATTTATTCTTCAAGGAAAGTGATTGTGTCCTTGCAGTTGGCTTGTGGCTTACCTTAACAGGCAGCTGCAGCCCAGCGGCTGCTGCTGTGTACCTGATGACTTATTGATGTTGACAGTGGAGGGATATGGTCACAAGCAGTCGTCTGGACAACATGTATGCGCTATGACAAATTTGAGCTGCCTTGTTTGTCAGGATTTTAGGCTTATTAGACACAGCTTTCAATCCTCCCTTCCTTCCTTTCCTGTTGTTGCCCAATATTTCTGTCTTTTTCTTTTTTGTAATGTGGTCGTCTACATTTATGCTTGAAGTGAAGCAAAGTGATCTGATGCTCTTGTTGTGTTTTCAGGCTCGCTTTATGGTGCCAGTTCAGGAGTCAAGCCAGAGCAGGAGGGTGGTCGTGTCACACAATGTGGACAAAGCTCTTAAGGAAGGTAATGGATCACCTTGGTGTTTTATGACCACCTTATGTTCACATTATGCAAATACATGTGGACATTTGGCCATTGTATAAACATTAGCTGCGGACATTGAAGCGAACATTGAAACATTAAAATGATAGAAAAACATATACACTTTCCACTGATAGTGTAGAGGCCACCTCAGAGAGCAGCCTTTTGAACAGCTCTTGTCCTTTACAGAGCAAGCACGAAAAACAAAGTCAGGATCCTTAAATTGCATCACATTACAGTTGGATGCCTGAGATCATTTGAGATTCAAATGTGACAGTTTTTTAAAAGCTTTACGTTTACTGCTCACACTATAATGCAAGAAGGACATATTCAAATGTATAAGACATAAACATGCACTTTCACTCTGAGTGTATATGATGATGAATTCGTCATTTTTTATGTTATCTGTTATCACTTTTGTTTGTTTCTGCCATTTAATGAGTGTCTTAAGTGCAAATGTAAAATGTCTCTATTATGAAAATGTCCATAAAAATTCCATCAATGGCTTTGTCTTCCAAGAATATATATAATATAATGATATATTATCATAATATTGCAAGGTATTGTCAGTGCCCTGCTGGCAGCAGCACGAATTTTGCTTTCAGCACAGTTTGCAGTCATAGTGTTCAACATCAGGTCAGAATATGATTAACGTTATGTTACATTAAATCTTTATCACTTTAAAAATTGTACCAATATTATCATGTACAGTGTTTTATGTCACACCCCTGCTTTTTTCTAAAAGTCCCACAATGCAATTCTTGCTTTTTATTTATCTTACCTTATAAATATGTAAATTAAAGTTATGCAACTCTATGTTTGACAGTGGTGATGCAAAAGTGATGACAGTAAAGTGTCCAAAATCTCAATTACTGGAGTACCCAGTTTAGAGAATACATTTTTTTTTCACTTTTTCAAAATGGAGTTTTCACATCCCTCAAAAACCGGCACTATTGGAAAACTTCAACTTCTGTTTTTGAGAAAACTGCTGACTGATGGAGCTCTTTCTCTGTTAGTCACCATGACCTGTCACCGATCCCTCCCACCCATAGTGGATTACAACAGTGTCCTGGTCATAACACACAGATAGACACACATACACAGTCAGTGGAACAATATGTCTGGCTGCCAAGTAACAGATGGCTTCAGGATTTACACCAAGGGTGTGTATTTACACATGCTCCTGTGTGTGTTTTGAAAAGGTCCTTTAGTCGGAGTGTGAGTTAATGATGACATTATTAGGATCACAGTCGAGCCCTACTGTGTCAGTTATTTGATGATTAGTGTTTCTGTATCAGCTTTGTGTTAGTGCTTATTTCTAGGATTTAAATGCAAGCATTTAAGTTCACAGAATTAGCTTCTCATGGATCTTATTGTTTTCTTATCTTTATTGTTGCCAATACTAGCGCGAGAAAATGCATAAAATAACTTGTTAAAAAGTATTCATCACTTTTCTATTTTTTTATTTCCGTGCCAGTGACCTCTAAGTTAAGATTCTTAGAATTGTTTTCCAAAAAAACACAACGGTTTCCACTGATCTTCTAAAAAATATTTGGATAGTGATCTACAAATATGTCACATGCAATACCACTGTTGGCTCCTCTGCTAGCTTTGTGAAGATTCCTTGAGCTGCAAACAGTTGAAAGGCTGAAAAACGTTTTCTTTATTTAACAGATCAGAAAAGAAAAGATTAGATTTGCATCTTTTCACTTTAGTGATGATTCAGATATGGGAAGTACTGCTTTCTTTCCTTCAAAGCAAATCTGAATTATTATGTAGTTATTATAGTTTTAATGTGAATTGAAATTTCACTGTTGAATTTCCTTTTTAATGCATAAATAGTGCTGTTTAGAATACTTCTGGTGGGCTAGTTGCAGTGCCTTTTATAGTAACATCCAAACAGCATGTGTGTCTTACTTTAGTGTAAATGCT